CCTCAGAGCTTCCCCCAGACTCCAGGTAGATAATGATCCTTTCTTCACTTGGACTCTGCTTTGCTTTATGACCAGGTAATGGACACAACCATTGACCAGAGAGCCCCTAAGTCACCTCGATTTTATTATGTGCATTAGAACTGTTGCTCGGTAGCGCAGCAACTTTCAAATGGTGGAGAGACCTGAGACCCCCTCCAACAGCTGGGGCAGCTCTCAGACGGAGAGATCTGAACTAAGGAAACCTGCAGGCAGCTGGGGCTGTATTAAATTTTTACCATTTGGAGTTAATTTAAACTCTCGTTTCTCTCTCTCCAATGGGTGTGAGAGAAACATTCAACAATTTTTATTTAAGGAAAATAGATGGTGGTGCCATTAAAAGTTTTATATAAGAGCTGAGGGTTTAAAAAAAAATCCTAAGGGGTTGTTGGATAGATCCTGGCCCTGCTCCAAGACATGAGTAGCCCTGCCCTTTGCTCTCACGTCGTTTCGTCAAATGGAGCAATAGCTAATGCCCAGCTGGGAGGATGAGGTGTCTTTGCTAGTGATGTTAATTTCCCATCGTTCTCTGGGGTTGTGGCACCCGGCACACTGCAATACAGACACAACGCTCCTGGAGTTCTCTAGTTCCTCCTGGAGATCAGCCAGATCAGATCATGTAGGCAGATCAGTTCCCTGGCTTCTCTCATAGAGCTGCCTAGTACAGCCTCTCCAAGCATGGACCCTTCCTCTCTGCCCCTCTGAGTGCCCTCAAGATACCTACTAGTCTACCAGCCCATCCCGGGCATGTGGGCAACCGGAACCGAATCACCTCTAACCCAGAAATGATTTCTCTGACATTAGAAAGGCTCATCTGTGGAGACCTAGAAACGCATGCCTTGAGCAGGGTCCCCTCCCTGGCATCACTGCACAAATGGAGAATGATCCTGTTGGTCCGTCTAATTGAAAAAAGGAAGCCATTGAAGGGGTGAACCTGAGATACCCAGAAGTCTCTCAGAAAACACAGTAAATGGCAGCTGAGAAACATGTTAAATCTAAGAAAGTGCTGTGTTGGAAAGATGGCATCCATTAAAAATGATCTGGAGATGGGACACATGTCCAGGCTGCCAAGGCCAAAGTGACCTGTTATTCAGGCCAGCACCCTCTCCCCCACTTCCACCCCGAGGCAAAACACCCCTGTGGTGGTCTTTCAGAAATAAGCCATTTTGAAGGAAAACAGCTTTGCTAGGCTTCCTTGTCACAAGCAAAAGACCTGTTGGCATTACACACGATGCCATGGTAACCTCTGAAAGCACTTACTATTATTTATAGTGGTGGGCATCGTGCACATCTCAGCACAGGGCTGACTTTCTACAGGCAACAGGGAGACACCGTGTCAGACAGGGTCCTACTTTCTGCAGGCCAATCCTGTGAAGACCACACAGAAGTAGATCTCTGTCATGAGAACCACTCACATACTCTTCTGTATCTCTTCCCTAGATGAAAGCCAACTAGCGTGTGAGACTGTTGTGGGAGATTATATCTGAGTTGTTCCCACTGTATCTCCGTATCTCTGGCACTTAAGCTGCACAGGAGGTATAAACAGGAGCATCAAAGTCTAGGCCAGCCTGGGCCAAAATTCAAAATCATATTTAAAAAACTAACTAAAGCAGAAAGGACTGGTGACGTGGCTCAAGTGGTAGTGTGCTCGCCTAGCAAGTGTGAGGCGCTGAGCTCAAACACCCCAAAACACTTGAGCTGAATCTATTCAGACTTGGGGAATCCATTTAATATAATAATTGTGTCTTGTTCCATTGTTTTTTCGAAAAAGTTCAGATTATGCCAGTCTTGAGAGAGGAAGGGAGGGCTTTCTTGAATTCATGATTGTATTAGAAGCATTTGCAGTTCTATTTTGCAGATTAAAATTTCCATAAAAGAATCATTTAGCTGGGTGTCCATGGCTCACCTAGCACTCAAGATGCTGAGGACCACAGTTCAAAGCCAGTTCAGGAAAGAAAGTCTGTGAGATTCTTACCTCTAATTAATCACACACACACACACACACACACGCGCGCGCGCGTGCGCGCGCGTGCGCGCCAGAAGTATGGCTCAAAAGCTAGAGCACTAGCCTTGTGCAAAAAAGCTCAGAGACAGTACCCAGGCCCTGAGTTCAAGTCCCAGGACCAGCAAAATAATAATAACAATAATACATAGTAATAATAATAATACTCATTTATATTAAACATGTTTGATCATATAACAAAAGTAGTAAATGAAAGTAATTGTGTCTGTGATTTAAAAATGATTGTTCTTTTCATTCGGAATTACATACTTTTGGTGTGATGGAAATTTCTGGAATCAGGTGGTGGTGACAGTTGGCTAAAAGCCACCGACTTGTACACTTTAAAGTGGCTTTTAAATGGTGGGTTGTATGGTACACAAATTAATTTTACCTCATTCTAGAAAAAATGTGAAAGAAAATTGTTAATAAACACTGGTTTTAGTCTAAAAATAGTGCAATCCTAAGATCTACAAACTTTCCTTATATTTCCCTTTGTCTTTGAAAAAGTCAGGTATGTCCTGGGATGAGAAGCCAAGATCATTCAGAGATCAGCAAGGCAAACCCTTGAGCAGTGAACATCTCAAGGAGAAGGGAGGAACTGGAGAAGTAGAGGCCAGCTTGCCTATATTTGCTTTACAAACCTATTTCTAAAATTTGGGAGAGATAAAATGAGACTACATTCTTCTAGAAACCCTTCACATTTGTTAGAACCTTTTCAAGTCTAACCTGCTTTGAAGATGGTGAGGGAAAAGAGGGGAGAAAAAGAATCCAAGCGGCCTGCTCCTTTCCCTTGCCCACGTTTCTTCTGGGAGTGAAATTAGCTTTCATTTTCAATGTGGCACTTTGGGAATTCTTTCTAATTTCACTCTTAGGCTGTGGGTGTGGTTCAAGTGGTTAGAGCACTTGCCTACCAAGAGGCAAGATCCTGAGTTCAAATCCCAGTCCTGTCCAAAAGATTCCTTTCTGGGCTACAGTCATTTCGCTGGCATTGAAGACAGGACATTCTCTTGGGAACAACATTGCTGCTCAGTTCCCAAGCTTCATTGTAGTTTTTTTTGTCTTTCTATCAATCAGCAAAGGAAAGGCCTCCACACAGGGAGAGGGCTCACCTTTTTAAAGAGCCTGGTAAGAATGGTGAATATGCCTATCCATATACCAAAAAGTGTCCTGGTCACAGCAAGACTGCTCGATAGCCATGAGATAGCAAAGATAAATTAGCTAATAATTAATTAAAGGTTTGGGGCTGGGAAGGTAGCTCAGTGGTAGAGCGCTTGCCTTGCATGCCTGAGGCCCTGGGTTCAATTCCTCAGTACCACATAAGCAAAAAGAAAAAAAGCCGGAAGTGGCGCTGTGGCTCAAGTGGTAGAGGACTAGCCTTGAGCTGAAGCGCCCAGGCCCAGAGTTCAGGCCCCACGACCAGACCCCCCCCCAAAAAAAATAATTAAAGGACTTTTTCCAGAATAATTCTCACGGGTATGATGTGTGCTTCTTCCTTCCCACCCTCCCCTCCCTCCCTCCCTCTCTCCTTTCCTTTTTTCCTTTCTCTCTCCCTCCTTTCCTTCCCTTCTTTCTTTCTTCCTTTCTTTTTCCTCCAGTGGGTAGGGAGTGAACCAAGGCCCCTCTATACTAGTTAGGTTTTCTACCACTGAACCCCATCCCCAGTCCCGTTAGTCACTGAGTAGCTCTGTTCCAAGTCCCTCTCAGACTGTGACCTCACTACAAAAGGTCTTTTAAGACACCTAATTGGTGGCGTATAAAATGGACAACATTTCAAGCATTGGGGGACTGGAGGCATGGTTCAAGTGGTAGAGCACCTTTCCCAGCAAGCATGCTTGAGAGAGCAAGACAGAGACAGAGACAGGGACAGAGAGAGAAGAATAAAGAAAGAAAGAAAAGAAAGGAAACAAAGAGACGAAGAAGGAAGGAAGGAAGGGAGGGAGGAAGGGAGGGAGGGAGGGAGGGAGGGAGGGAGTTGGAGGGAGGAAGGGAGGGAATTGTTTAGCAGAAGTTCACATATGCAGAAGTTCAGGAGGGCGGCAGTCAGCCTGGCCCAGTAGCTGCAACATGTCCCCCACCCATGATGGGGAGAGGAAGCTGGTGCTGTCTCCCCACAGCCGGCTTCAGGTGCCTGGAGCGTGTGGATTAGCCATCCCCAGCTCCTACCCTGCTCTGAGGGCTGTCTCTAAGTCTCAAGCCTAAGGAGCATTGCTTAACCCACTTTTCATCTTTCTGTAGAGAATGGCCTCCAGGCCCCGCGTGTGGCTGGGGGTGGCACATTCCCAGGTGCTGTGTGCAGTCTGGGTCCTTCAAAGCAGAGAAGTCCGCCAAGCTGGGCTGCACCCTCTCCTGTCTCCAGCCCAACATGCCTTGCTTGGTGCAGTGTTTTTGTTTTTGTTTTTTATTAGCTCCTCAGTGCATCGGTGGTCAGGGTGATAAAATTGGTGGCAGATTTAACTGCCGGGCAGCTGGGTCACTGTCCCATGGGTCTGGTTGTCACGCTGAGGTCTTAAAGTGGCCGCGGCTGCTGGGGCTGCAGCTTCCGCAGGCCAGGAGGGAGAGCACTGAATAGTTAATCGTGAGATGGGAAGGCAGAGGCTGTTGCTTACCAAAAAAAAAAAAAAAAACAGACAAGCAGCTTTGAAAAATCCCAAGGTGGCTGAATATCAAGAACCCGGCTCCTGCTGTGCCCGGCAGCCTGAGGGCTTAAAATCCACTCTCCAGCATAGGTTGGTGCTCCTCTTGGGGGGCTTTAGCAATAGAAGCAGAAAACCTAAACACTACAAAACGAAGAAGCCCTCCGCCCCATCGGAGCCCAGCCAGGGTGGAGGTAACCTGGGCCAGTTACCTTTGGCATTGCTGGATGGATGGGTACGTGGGGGGAGGAGGGGGAGGAGAGACAAGAAAAGAACAAGAGTAAGAATGGTAAAACCAGATGACTTATTTAATAGTCATGGCGTCTTACCTGAAACCGTCTCATGTCCCTGGGGTTTCCCGCTGTTTTCAAACAATTCTGATTGCACTTGAGGAAAAATTTTAAAAAGAATCTGTGAAGAGAAAGCAGCGTGTTAACTTTATGGTTTTACCCCCCCAGTAAACATTTCGTAAGGGCGACGATCATCTGCACTGGATTAGGTCTGGGTTGGAACGTGATTGTATTTCAGGTGTGGGGAATGTCACCCAGCCTTCGTCTGGGAGGGACCCAGACGCCCCTGTGCCAGCCGCCAAGTTGGATGTTTTCGATCACCAGCCTTTTCCTTCCCCGTGGGGGGAGCTGCAAACTAGGCTCTGGTTTGTAAGCCAGTGTCTGAGTTTCTACAGCATTCACCCTGCAAAGAGGCATCAGATACACCAGTGACCCCTGCTGTTCAGGGGGTTTTAAAATGGGAGGAAATAACCCAGAATCCCAGTCCCCCCCACACACACCCCCACCCCTGGCTGATCCCTGCTCTCCTCAGACCACATACACCAGCATGCTCACACCTGAAATTGGTCTGACCATGCCTTCCAATGAATCCAAACTCAGAAAACGGCAGGCTACCATTCCAAAACTCAGTCTGCTATACACATAATTAATAACAAGTGTGAATGTCCTTCCAGACCGTGAAGGAATTATCCAGGAAAAAAAAACCCACAACAACAAAAAACCCCACTAATGCACAAAGGCACACATGATCATGGTGTGAGGTTATCATCTGTAAGACAGACTTTGGGAGCTCATGTTCTCATCAATGATCTGTGTGATTTTGAAAACCAGGCCCCAGGAAGCAGACAACCATATCGGCCAAGAAAAATGACCCAAGTGGTCTGTGGAGAAATTTACTTAGTTCCCGTTTTAAAATTTTGTTTTAAAAATACAATAAGTTTTTTTTTTCATTTATTTCACTTGCAGAGTCCTTTCCCTTAAAAAAAAAAATCTAGCTTTTGCAGTGTTCAAGTCCCAGGTGAGCTGGGCCTATTTCCCTTCCAGTTTCTATGACAACGAAATTTTACCGCAGTCCCAAAGTCCCTTCAGAACTCTCACACCATGCCTTGAATTAGAACTTTAAAGGAAAAGATATACATTTTCTCCAGGATTTACCAACAACAACGAAAAAGAAGTACAAATCAACACTGCTTCCTTAAAAAAAAAATCTGTTTTTAAAGCATTAGTTGTGGAAATGCTCTCACCATTGACCTTCTGTGTATTTTTATTTTTAACAATCACACAAAAGGATTCAAGAGCCTCCAATTAACTGAATGTATCACTTACCAAAAAAAAAAAAAAACTGATGAGAAGGTAAACAATAAGCAAGGATAGAGAAGGGAAACTGACTCAGGAACCTCTGTCTCAAAGCTCTTTTATTCTTTGTTTGCTAAAATTATTTGGCAACACACCTCTGCCCTGATCTGTGAATAAGGTTGAGTGTGAACTTGGAAGTCACAGCCACATATTTTTTTAAATTGCTTTCTAATGTCTATGGTTTGCTTCTATCCTGTGATCTTTTAGGGGGTGGGAGAGACAGGACACAGAAGGAAATGGGCAGCATTGATTTTGTGCAGAGTGTATACACTCACAAGCCTGCTGCAGAATTCAAGAGTACAGCGACATTTTGTTTCTAAAAGGAGCGCCTTTCCTCTGTCCAGTCCTATCGGATTCCACTTTGCCACTCCCAAGGCTGGGAGACGCTCGCAGGAGATGCTGCAACCTCGTCTTTTCTCTTGGACCCTCTTTCCAAACAATAGCCGCCCCCCACCACCACCATCACCACATTTCCCCTCTAACACCCTCAAAAGCAGTTTCCCCTACCAAAGCCTCAGTGTTTGTTTTCGTTTACTCCTTGGTCTCTGGAACGTTTGCCCGAACTGGACTGGTTTACGAATCGTTGGTGTGTGTTCTCTTCCCGTCGCCCCCCGCCCCCCTCGCACCTAAGATTTCTGCTGAAAACATTGATGTTCAGGAAAGTATTCTTAGGTGAATGGTGTGGCCTGGAGGAGAGTGCAAAAGAGATAAACATTCACCTCGGATCAAACTGATTTAGGGAAACACAGAGCCTGGTGAGAGGCTTTATTCATTTTAAATTAGGATCCTTCACAGCTCTCTGGATGGAAAACACACAGTGTTGACTCTTTTCACTTATTTCAGGGCTGAGTTAGTAACCTACACAGACCCCTGCACAACCTATTCAGACTCCCTGCACACCAAGGATTTAGCATCTGGCTCCCAATGCGGGGTAAAAAGGAGGGAGGTCGAGGGGCGTGGGCCACCTTTATAATCCAATACCTAATAAACTATAACGACATAACATACAACTGCTACTTCTAAATAGCTACCACCATAAATTGTAGCTTGGATTATATATACACATATAAAAGTATGTACATATATATGTACATGTGAATATGTGCACGTACATGTGCATGTGTGTATATGTATACATATATGTACATATATATATGTACATATATATATGTGGTTCTAAAGATGAATGAAGAGACATTTTGGAGCTTGCCAACATGCCACTTCTGACTTTCTCTGGGTCCTGTCCACCATTCACCCGTGTGGCCTCCTCGCCGCCGTGTGCTGGGTCTTGGTGAGAAGCCCTTCCCCGCCTACCCCATCTTTTAGCCACAGGCTAACGTGCAAGGAACAAATTCTCTCCGAATCCCCTGGGTCTGGATCCCTCCAAAGCTGGAGCTGCCTGGAAAATGTCAGCACTCTCCACTCCGAAACAGAAAACCAAAATGAATTACAAGATTCAGACCAAATGTGCAGATTTCTCATCAAGATGGGAAATCTTTCCACTTTCTGCAAACAACAGTGACAACATAAATATTACAAGCACTTAGCAGGCTGCAGTGGGTGGGGCTTCGGACTGCATTCCTGAGGCGTGAGCCCTAAACCAGGGAGGTTTATCCTTGTTTTATGGGTAAGGAGGAATGGAAAGGTGGGGTCAAAATGTGAACCCCAACCAACCCACACATTCTTGTAGGTCCCCAGGTCACGGAGTTGGTGTCATGTACCAAAAGCATTCCTTTACAGCAAAACTATGCATTCACATGCTCTAGTCCAGGCCTTCCAACCGCTACCAGTGTAACCAAATAACCCCACATCTCTGGCCTCAGCTTCTTCAGTGGTTAAAGGAAGAGTCTGATTGAGTTCTCTCTAGACTTCCTTCCAACATCAAAATACCATGACCATAGCTGGGCAATGGTGGCTCATACCTGGGTGCTGGTGAAATCCTACCTAGTCACGAGACTGAAGACAGTGGTTCAAAGCCAGCCTGGGCAGGAAAGTCCCTAGACTCATATCTAATTAACCAGCAAAAAGCCAGAAGTAAACTGTGGCTCAAGTGATAAAGTACCACCTTTGAGTGAAGAAAAAAATTAAGGGACAATTCCCTGGTCCTGAGTTCAAGCCCCAGTACTGGCTGGCACACACTGGCGCGCGCGCACACACACACACACACACACACACACACACACACACACGATTGCAAAGGAAAATGGATAGAACTGACAGCCTTCCAGAAAGGAATATTTAGGGGAACAACTCTGAAGATACAAAGACTAGAACTTGCTGGAAGGAGAGGTGATGTGAGGAACAGGTCAAATACACCCAGACAAGGATGTGGAAGGCAAGTGTCGGGAGGGAGATGGCTGGTTGACGTCTCTCTGGGCCAGTGGGTTCCAAAGATAAGGGGCACGTGGCTAGTCAAAATCCACCTTTCCGTGAGGATCCCTTTGGGACTTCTACTGCATGGGGTGTAGGAAGACCATAGGTCAAGGCCATTTCTGTCCCTGCTGGCCATTTAGGGGACTCAACAGCTGAATACTGCAAAGGATACAGAGGAGAGGAAACGATGGCAGGCTACATTCTAGAGCATTCCTGCTACCGGCCAATCCTTATCCTCAGAGGATGCATTCCAAGGCTCCAAACTCTCTGAACTCTAGGCTTTTTCTTATATACACACATCTACAATAAAGTTTAATTTATAAGCTAGGATGAGATTCACAATACCTATTAGTAAACAACAACAATTATGACAATACATTGCAATAACAGTAATGAATGATTGATTTCTGGAACTTTCCATTCAACACTTCTGGACTGCAGTTGACTTTGAGTAACTAAAAGCTTAGGAAAGGGAGCTGGTGGATGAGGGGCCCATGCTCTGGGCTCGGCATGTGTGACCTCATGGAGTTCTCGTGACTTGTGAGTGACACGTCACTTGCTAGAACTGGAGAGGGTGGTCAGCAATGCCCCAGGACACAGGATTGGAGACTGGGCCTTGCCAGCCCCCAGTGCACCTGGCAATCTATGTCCTATGCCAACACTACCAGGATGGTCACACAACTCTTAAGTACACGTCAGTCCACTGAAGTGTATGCTTTGAATGAATGGACAAGCCTTCTGGTATGCAAACCATACCTCATCAAAGCCACTGATTGTGTTTGTTTACAAGAAAAAGTCTTAAAAGTGAAGGAAGAAAATGAGGAAGGAACAAGAAAAACAGAGGAGTTTGGCTTCTGAAAAAAGCTCAAATAAACTGGGTGCTGGTAGCTCACACCTGTAATCCCAGCTATTCAGGGGCTGTGATCTGAGGACCAAAGTTTGAAGCCAGCCTGGGCAGGAAAGTCCCAGAAAGTCTTATTTCCAGTTGGCCACAAAGAGTCAGAAGTGGAGCTGTGGCTCAAGTAGTAAAGTGCTAACCTTAAACAAAAAAAAAAAGCTCAGGGATAGCACCCAGGCTCTGAGCTGAAGTCCCACAAATGCAAAACAAAACAAAAGGAAACATCTGGTTAGAGATAGTCATAACAGTACATATTTCACATTGAAATTCTCTGCTGTCTCATGTGCTAGTGGGTCATGCCTGTTTACCCGAGCCTCTCAGGAGGCTAAGATCTGAGGCTCATGGTTCAAAGTCATCCTGGGCAGAAAAGTCCGTGAGACTCTTATCCCCAGTTAAACAGCAAAAAGCCAGAAGTGGAGGTGTGGCTCAAGTGGTAACATGCCAGCCTTGAGCTAAAAAGCCAAGCAAAAGCTTGAGGCCCTGAGTTCAAACCC